CCGCCCCGCCCCGCCCTCACTACCATTGCCAGCCATGACAGCCATCATGCCAGCTGACATTTGACACGACGGCTTTTGTATTACTTTAACTTTGTGTAGTTCTATTTAATGACAATTCTTCGGAAAGACTTAACATTTAGGTTAATTTTAAGGTTACCTATATATAATAATCGACATCATCGTAGCGGCGCCAAGGGGAGCAATTCCAGCAAAACAATACTTCGGGGATTCAAGTAATCGTTAAAATTAAAAAAAAAAAGTCAAAATTATATTTTAGCTACTTGATTTATGAATAATGAAATGAAAATGAGAGCTGAGTCAGCAGGCAAAGTAGAAATTTACCAGCAAACAAAATGTGCATCAGGCAGGAGGCATTCGACATGTCGAATGCGGCGGCAGCGGCGGCGGACGCGACGGAGGCGATACGCGACAAACAAAACAATAACAATCCTCTACAATTGGCACACAAGAGAGACACGAGCGCACGCGCCCCGCGCCCGCCGACAACTAGCGCAGTGGGGCGAGGGGCGAGGGGCGAGGGGCGCGGGTCGCGGGGCTTCGAATTGAGTCACATCTCAGTACCACTGCACTGTGCACATGCCCAACACACAGTATATATTTGTATAAATAAAAATATTATGTATGACTTGACTGGAGACCCTGATAAAATCGATCTCGAACCATTTCTGCTTTTTTAAAGTAACATTAGCATTCACTAGGGCAGATTGCCTGATACCAACTTGTGGATAAAAGGACTAAAATGTATCTAGCAAAAGACGCGACCATTACTTATGTACACACACAAATTATGTATTGTTTGTGCAATGCATTGTGTAATGTTCAGATGCCTTTCTTGGCCAGACTTCTTTGCTGACATGACCATGGATAGGAAGCAGCCTTAGTAGTTGGCCATCCACTAAATAATCTACAAAAATTACAAAATGAGAAAACAAAGGTCGAAAACAAGAAGCTGCTCGCTATAAAGCAGTAGTGAGACCCGGCATTACATGTGCTAGCACAATTTTCGAGTGAGTCGATCAGCATGGTATTTAAAAATTATTATTTTTTTGTTTTTAAATTTAAAAAAAAATTACCCATGAGGTAAGTCCCGCAGACGGCCACCACTATGAGCAGGATGAAGACCCGCTTGAGACGGCGCGGCCGCTTTAGTGAGATGCCCCTCGAGCTCACTGGCCCTGAAGAGCTGCTATCTTTTAACTGAAAATCAAATACTATTAAAATTTTTAATGAATAACCACATGTTTCTATAGAACAACATTAACACACAATTATTTAGTTATAATGTGGTAACATTACATGGAAGTAATTATTTATGGACATATTTATTTTATTTTATTTCAACATATGAATACTATTTATGGCAGTGGTTTGAATGTACTGTGTGATTTATCACTGTCACTAATATGTAATGAAAAATAATTACATGTGAATAATGTTTTGCTTAAGTAAAGAAATTTGTTAAATATCCAAAACAGTATGCAGACAAATACATTATGTCCCTATCTATATGTGTTCCATGATAAGACAAATGTTTATTCCTTGTTAATACTACAGCATATCAGCTAGTGCTATTGTATGATGTTTGTTAGCATGCAAAAATGGCAAAAAATGGATGTACCAATCTATTAAATTTGGCATACTGCTGAAATAGCTAATAGGAAACTTCAAAGATTCCATTGGGATATGTATATGTAATAAACAGAAGAGTCAGATGGTACTCTGTATGAGCAACTATTAATTCTTACTACTACTTTTAAAAATTGCTTTTGAAAAGCAATTGCGCTTAGTAAACACAATTTCTGGCTCCTGTATTATATAGATATGACTAGGTATACATACAACTTACATAGTAATCAACATAGTCATTGTAAATATTTGTAAATTAATTTCGAAGTTATTCAGTCCCTTAGCACATAAAACTTACCTCTAAATACCTGTATGTGCTGAACTTTCCCATATCGGGGTAAAAAATAACATCACAACCAAAGCAAATAGATTAAATTTTATATTTGCGTAAATATTACATAATAATGCGTTGTAGTCACATTATTACGAATTAAATATTAAAATTTAACAGGTTTAAGGAAGTTCTTGTTATTTTTTCAAATCAACTAACTGGGGCTTAATACCATTCATTTTAGTTTACCCCAGGCGGCACCTTTATGAATACATAAAATGTAGATTCAAATTGCCACTGTTAGAATACAATTATTGGGCCAAGTTAATACATGTCCTTAGGTAAAACTATCCTTTGATTTTTAGTAACTTTGTATATGTCTAATATAGGTGCAGCGGCCTATATGATGTCAATGTCAAACTTCAAAGTCACTTCAAGTGTCAATTTTTTTTTAATTATATGGCCTGGTAACATATTTGGAAAATGTTCATTACTTTGGATCAAGTGTCAAGTGATAGAGTGACAAAGAGAAGACCAAAGATACTAATCTTAGTGTACGCATAATCCAATAAACATTGATAAACATATCCTGACCCGGTAAGAAAGTCGCCGCTGTTACCGCGGGAAATTCTCTGTTAGAAATATGGAGAATCTACTGAGTGCGCCTCCTGTTCAGATAAGTTTGTCGGTCTTATAAGTATGATATAAATTTATAGGACATAGTCAAATTGTATTAAATTAATTATTTTTTCCCCTAAAAATTAATTACGGTTGTTCATTTCGCCATCGTCGTCCTATTCAATACCTTGTCTCTAGTTTATACTCTATGAAAAACGAATAATGATGTGAATGTGATGTGATGCCAATGATGGCCTGAACTAAAAAAAAAATACTCCGTGTTTTTTGATGTGCATTGATGTTAATTTTTGTTAGAATACAGCTACTATAAATTTTATTTAATGCTAATCCAAACAAAATTTGAAATTGTTAGTCTCAATATACTTACCTACAGAAATTTTGCTAAGTGGATAATAATTAAATACAAAGGAAACAACACCTTGTTGCTTGGCTGATAAGGTATAATTTGATTTCAATTTTTTTCAATCATAAAAGAAAATTCGATGCAATTATCATTATTTATAAAGTTAGATTAATAAAAATGATTTACCTTTCTTTTACGTAAGTCACTCATTGTTTCATAATATGGAAAGAACTTACACGTCTACTTTTCGTCTTTGTAATAAATCACTAAATATCTAAGTGTCTTTCACACTTCCCGGTTAGTGATGTTTCTCTGGCTTTATGTGGGGATGGTTCGACGTCACTACCAGTCACTACAACTAATTATTAACAAGTAAAGATAATGAAAACACTGACATTATGTTACTATTTTATTGCATAAACTACAAGTATTCGTGACCTAACGATCTAACCAACAATAAGGCTTCACCTACCACAACTACATGACTGGTGGAATAAATAAACGTAAAAAACATCTTACAATAGTGATGTGTATCACATACTTAGTTTATAAATCACTATCGGGTGCTTATCACATCAGCTAGCGGTTGTCGGCGAATCCGTAAGCGGAATTTAAAAAAAAAACATTCTAATTTTTCCTGCGGAATACAGTATCTTATTGTTTGTTTATTACTACATATCTATAAATATTAAAAACGAAGTCACATTTTATCGCCTGTCCCTACAGTTTTGTGAACTCTGTTAGTAAAGTTTTGTGTGTAACTGTTTTTCCGGTAACGATATGCTGACTTTATTGACGGCTAAAACTGGCTAAAATCAAATGGATAAATTTGTTGAATGGAAAAGTAAACTATAATACATTTTTGACCAGTTGCAATATTACAACGGGCTCAGCAACAGCATTATATATGTTGTAAAAGGATATCGACATTAATAAAGTAGTGTAGTTTTACATCACTAGCACGTTGACCTTTATTGTCGTATGAAGATATTACTTACCATATTATCTATAGTTGCGCGACTTGCAACTAATCATGATGTTACACAAATTGACAACTACGAGTCTACGACTAGATATCTAGTACCCACTGACTCCCAACACAATATCATGTAATACAAAGATATTCAGATATAATATGTACTTATAAAAGGGACATAAGGCCTAGTTTTAAGCAGATTGGCTTCCAATGCGTCCCAGCTACCAAATCGAGGTAAATTATTGGAAGAGGACTAAAGTTAGGCCACCGGCACGCACACTCATCAGAATGACTTCCGCTTGATGCCTGTCTTGTTGTGGAATCAGCGATATTGCACCGGTCGAGCCACTGATTTAAGTGTATTCGTTAATTTATTTAAAAAAAAAAACAAGCCCACGACTACTTCTGCAAGGAATTGAAAAAAAATTATGAGTAACCAATGTGTTCTTCCAGACTATGTTCTAAATCTGTGTCAAATTTCTTTAAGATCCGTTCAGCTCTTCCAGAGATATCTTCAAATATAATACATCCATCCCTCCCACATTTGCATTTATAATATTAGTAAGAAGTAACATAATACATTAATTTCGTTCTTTTCACACGGATTTCCATGCACCCACCCAGTTGTATTACACCGGTCAAATCCCATTTCAGACCGAGCTGTTTTCTCCTCAACGTATAGTTTTGCCACCAAAACAAACGTAGAAATTCCCTGTGAAGCCTTGCGAAAAATACAGTGGTAGAGCCCGCTTTAACATCTTCGCACGAATTGGCCCGGCTCGCCCGGTGAAATACCACAACCACACAGAAGACAAGCGTCAAGTGGAAGCAAATCCGCGTTTCGTCTGATGAGTGTACGTCCCGGAGGCCTAATTTAGTCCTCTTTCCCTACCCATCCTTTTTCTTATAAGGAATGGATGGGAAGTGGAAGTGGACTTTCCGGATGAGAGGATGCATGAAAAGGGAATATATTTTCTTTCTGATCATCCTCTCCTCCGTCGATTAAAGGTAGGCAACGCATATGCAATTGCGTGTGTCTAATGGCAACGGTCACTTCGCTATTTCAGCGATTTCAGGTGGCCGCTCGCTCGTTTGCCACCTTATGATATAAAACAAAAAATATCGAACATATTGTTTATGTTGTTGGGTAGGGAAGGGCGCGACATGCGGGGCGAGGCGCTGGTGCGGCAGCTGGCGGGGGCGGGTGCGGGGCCACGCAGGCTGCACGAGTCGCCGTTCGCGCGGGAGCCTCCGCCCGCCCGCCTCGGCGTCCGTCACCTTCACGACGAGCTTCTCTGTCGCGACCCGTAAATACCTCGTTCCTAACATTTGTAGGACTTTCATCACTCACGAGCATGAAGTGATAATTCACTTGGAAAATGATGTAAAAATTACCTATAGTATGGAATTTGACGGAACAAGACTACCCGATGTAACTAATCAAGCATGTGGTATTGCAGGGCGGGGGCGGGTCGCGCGCTATCGTGCGGGCTCTGCGGGCGCGCGCTGGCCTCGCCGCACCTGCTCGACCTGCACGTGCAGGAGGAGCACGACTCCTTCTTCGCGGCGCTGGCTGCCACCAAGCCCTCGGTGAGTGCTGCCGTGTAAACCACGCGATATGAAATACGTAATCAAAATGTCCTGATCGCTGCTAACTTATATACTCGTGTATATAAAAATTTAGTATGGAAGCTTTGGGCCCTCTCTTATTCTAGCAGCAAGAAGGACTCGTACACCTTATACATGTACATAATTTTTTCGTCCCCAGTATTGCTGCTACGTAGAGGAATGCAAGGAGAAATTCATGAATCCCGAGGAACGCTTCGGTCATTGCGTCGAAGTACATAAGTTACCGAAAGACTTCAGATTCTATCAAAAACCAAAAATACCAAAGAATAAAAATAACAAAAATGTTTCCATGGACGTGGATGATAAGGAAGTAAAAAATAAATTATTTGCTCTGAGTAACAGCAAGGCAAAGGCTTTTGTGAAAAGTTGCAAAAGAAGGAGTTTGAGTAGTGACGGTAGCGCCATGAGTTAGTTCCCGGTCACAGCGACGCAGGACAACAAACATAGTTGTGTTTTAAACTGGACATAACCAAACAAACTAATGTCTTCTTATATATACTTTTACTTTAAGCTTTTTACTCATGAAAATAAATTATATAATTATTTCTGTTTCTTCTTTCCGGAGGTTATATTAGATTTTATAAAGAGATTTTTGGTTGTATAATAGTAAAGCCAATGCATGGCACTACAAATTAATTAACTGAATAGATAGATAAATGAAGGGAATGGAAGTTCTGGCTCGATGGTGTTATTGAAATGATTGAGTTACTGTTGTAGCAATTTTATTTATATCTCACATTGCAAGCAAATAATTAAAATATGCAATCTTTGTAGTCTATTCAAAATATATCCACATGATTGCATTGTCTACCATATAAATAACATCCTAGTAGTGCAAAAACAAGTACTTTATTCTAATGGTAGTAACAATATTTAAGATTATACAACAAACAATAAATATACAGAATAGTATGATAGAAGGGGAGAGCGAGGATCAAGCTTCAGGCGAGAGGCGTGAGGCGCACTACTTGGCTTTGCCCTGCGCCGCGACGGCCGCCATGGCCTTGCGCACTGTCTCCTCGTCCCCCAGGAACACCATGGAGTCCACGGGCTGCAGGTTCTCGTCCAACTCATAAACGAATGGGATCCCCGTGGGCAGATTCAGTTCCATAATGGCCGCGTCGCTCAAATCTACAACACATTTCATGTAGTGACATCGCTGCTGCAGCAAGGCCTTTGCTCTTAGATGAGATTCATAAGGACACAGATAGCAATTGAGTTATAAAAATACTGACATCAAAAAATGACATCTTTAGTTTTGGCTGATCAATTAGTTCATGTACCTTTTTTTTAAGTTGTTTATGGGCAGATTAACCTCTAAGGAAATCATTCCAATCTTAAATGTTAAAAGGTAAGTTTGCTCTTTCCTCACTACATGTGAGCTGCCAAGATTACAAGGCGGGCCAGTTGCATGCTGAGCAAGGAGTGGAGCAAAGCATGTTAACATTAAAAATTGTTAGCTGTGCTAAATAGTAGCTCCGGGACACTTGAATAAAATACATTGTTGTGCTTATATTGTGTGATCACTTACTGTCTAAATGCTTCACAATTCCTCTCAGACTGTTTCCATGAGCTGCTATTATAATTCTCTTTCCTTCCTTAATCTGAGAACAAAAAACTTTTTAGATATTTTTTTGTTCACTTGCCAATCCCTTATTCAACCACAAAGGTTTTTTTATTACATTATGAGGTGGCAAACATAACAAGTGGCAACCAGAAATAACAAAAAAAGCATTGCCCATAAACATTGGCACTTCATGCCTGTCTTCTGTGTGGACTCTGCTAGTTCATTTCCGAGAGATTATAAAAGGGGATGTAAATTACAAATTACCTGGGGAACAATAACATTGTTCCAGTATGGAAGTGTTCTTTCAATAGTAAGCTTTAAGCTTTCAAACATTGGGAACTCTTCAGGCTTTGGATCCCCGGCATAGCGAGCATCCTTTACAATAGTCTCATAGTAAGGGTGGTCCTTCTCCATTGGTGGGGGTGGAATGTCAAAACTACGTCGCCAAATTTGGACCTGGCATAAATATAAAAGTTTTAATTCATTATATAAATCAAAAAATTTTCATGGCTAAAAATAATGTACCTGTGCCTCGCCATACTTGGCGGCAGTCTCAGCTTTGTTAAGACCCGTAAGACCACCGTAATGCCTTTCGTTCAAGCGCCAAGTTTTGTTGACGGGCAAATCCGGCTGTCCGATTTCGTTTAGAATTGAATTTAACGTTATTTGGGCTCTTTTTAAAACTGATGTATGAGCGACATCAAATTGGTAGCCTTCGGCTTTTAAAGCCTTTCCGGCGGCGATTGCTTCCTCTCGACCTGTAGTTAATTATTGTTAAATAATTTAACCAAAGCATATATTTATTTGTAAGGTATTTAATAAACTCAATTTACCCTTGTCACTAAGGTCAGCGTCGTACCAGCCGCAAAATAAGTTTTTTTGATTCCATTCACTTTCTCCGTGCCGGATCATCACAATCTTATATTTTGCAGGCATGATTGACTTTTTAATTTAAAAAACGCCGAAAAATTACAATAAACTTGATTACGACCTTGTCTACTTATAAGCTCCCCCTCCTCTTGACGTATGTAACCTATTTGACCTTTATTTTATCATAAGCCGAGAATGTGAACATAGACAATTCTGTAAACTGGCAAAGCAACGATTACTCTTTGTTTGTGCTGTCAAATGTCATTGTCAATTTCAGGCACTGCATTGTCAATAAAATCAAATTAAAGTCAAATAAAAGCTGTCATTATCACAACATAAGTATTAAGATGTTTTGAACGGTTTTATTTTAAATTTTGATGAAATTTGAGCTTCGAGCATTCCTGCAATTTAATTTTTATTTGTATTCCCGTTTTATGATTCCTTAAAAACAAAGTAACATTTATTTGAATATATCCGATTCTTCATAATATATTTGTTATTTCAAGCATGGTATCATCTAAATATGAGTATTAGAACTTAGTCCATAAAACTGATGCTTAACTTAAAAAAAAAGTATAAAAGTGAGACCTTATTTAAGTGTGTAACAATTTAAAATAAAGTACAAAAATGCCTCCAAAAAAACGAGGTGGTAGGTCTATTGGAAGTGTAAAAGCAAAATTGTGTACACGCGTTCGCAAAAATCAAAATACAATTCCAAATTGTCTTCCTGGATTAAGTTTTGACTTACTTACTGGTTTGTTTTTTCTTTACACCTATTCAATACTTATTTTTATAATTTGTAATGGTTAAATAGAAATTTGAAGTAAGAAAGTGGCGGCAATGTTGGTTGGAGTCCTTTTAGATGAAATTGTGTCGACCAGGTTCACTGTATAGTTAATAAAGGGGCTCTTAATGCCCATTGTTTTGCTTGCAATCCAATTTTGGTTATGCCATGTATGTGTTATGAGGTATAAATGCAGAAGATGCAACATAGGCTTGTCAGAACAATGTCAAGTGTAAATCTTAATCTCTATCTGCCCCTCCAGGTCAACGCTGGTCTAAGGGTAACAGTTGTTATATCTGCTAATCAAAATTAAATAAACTTGATTGCAACATTATATAAACCTAAAATTGAGAGATGTGTATTGTATTGTTGTAGAGAATGCATTGACCACAAATAGTAAGAGAACAAGAAAAGTGACAACAACGGCTAACAATGAAATGCAGATCAAATTATCAAATGAAGGTAAGTGTTTGGTTGTGTTACATTGGTAGGTAATGTGATAAAATTATGAGTGACATTTTGATTGAATGTGAAATGTAGATGATATTTTTGTGTGACACAGTCACAAGTGCTGGCTGAACTGGTATTGCTAATTTAATAAAATGTTCTGCGATTTATAATTTCGTTTTATTTTATTTTATGGATTATGGATATGATTTATAACTTTCCATGGTAAATGGATTATTAAATAATATTTTTTGAATAATTGCTGGATTAGTAGCAAAATACTATTATTCTTCAATGTAAACAGTAATTGTGTTACCTTTAGCATAATGTAAAGCGCACTGTATATTGTAAATTGTGACATAACTATAGAACTTGCTAATGATATACAATTTTAAATTCTTTGCCAGTAATTGAAGCAGACATAACGAAGGAAGGAACACTGCTCACTGAAAATGAACCCAAAAAACTGAGGATCACACGGAATAACTTTGTGAAGTCACAGCCAAAGATTGAGTGTGCTGAAGATGATGAAATAAAGACCGATTTGCCTTTAAATGGTTTGTGGGAACATTATATATGTATATCCTTCTAAAGGACTAAATTAAGTTGTTGCAAAGTAAAAAAAAATCTATTCCATTTCAGTTCAGTCAGTGAAATTGATATCAAATCAAGGAAGTAAAGATGCTCCTGTGTCAAGGAAAAGAAAACTAGTCAAAAATATTTCACCAGAGTCTGACGGTATGTCTTCACAAACTCCATCTGACCTAACCTGTTGTTGGCACACGATTTTACACTGTAGTATTGCAATGTACGCAGTGGATTTATCTTTTATTCACTACGGAGAAACTATTTGAAATATAGTAAATAGTTGTTTTTTACCTAAGCCAAGAAGCGAAGTATTTATTAGTTGAAATCTGAAGGTCATAACTCTTCTCATGAGCATAGTACTCGAACATTTTCTTCAGGGGCCATCAAATAACTTTATTGTGTGGATATAAAAATGTTGAATATTCTTTATTTTCATTAAAGTGGACGTTACACTTGCATCTAACACTTTTGAGTAAACCTATTATTAACTCTAAAATATTAACCTATTCGAAAAGTTAAAGTTACCTACATTATTTTTCACCAGACTCAAGTACGACAACAAAGCGCCGATGCAAAACAAAAGGAGGTGTAAATAAGAACAGCATAACAATAAGAAAGCAAACCAACAATAAGAATAGAAAAAAAGTTATAAAGAGCAAAAAGTCGCCGGCCTTCGAGCAAACGGTCAGCTGTGAGCCGCCGCACACTTCCCCGCGGAAAGTTACAGAACTTAGAAATAAAAAGTCGTTCAACTTCGAGGTCACAATAAGCGGGGACTCGCCCCCGCCCCCGCCCCGGGGCCCCGAGCCCTCCGCGTCCTCGCCCCCGCCCCGGGAACCCGAGCACTGCGCGCCCTCACCCTCCCCCTGCCCCTCGTGGACTCGCGACATCTCCAGTTCCAGCGCCGTCACCTGCCTCACCGTGCGCACAGACGACATCGTGCGCATCGACAACAAGCTGCCGCTGCTGCGCCTCACCGACGTCGCCCGCGCGCCCCGCCCCGCCCCGCGACCCCCATCTCGCCCCGCACGCACCCCCTCTCCCTCTCCCTCTACCTCCTCCAACTCCACCTCCACCTCCAGCACGAGCTGCTCGAGCGCGACGTGCTCCCTCGCCCGCTCCTCCGCAGATCCGCACGATGACGACATCGACAGAGCGCTCCAAAAATTAACTACAGAGTTTAAAAAAAAGGACGTGGAAATGTTCGATTTGGTCGTTTGCGAAAATATAAACGACAGTTCCGCCCTCCGGAACTTCCGCAAACGAGTGTGTAAAGCGCTGGCGGAAGAGAGCGAAGTGATTGCACATTGTAACGCTTTAAAAAAATTACTAATCCACGATTATGAGGATTTATTTTCTGATATCGATCCGTGTGAAAACCAAGAGGTCGACCGACTCCCGGATAAACAATTTATTAAACCTCGCGATGTAAGAAAATCTACCCGGTGCGACACCGCGACCGAACCGGGATCAAAAATGGTCTGCGACGACAGGGGGTCGGCGGGGCGGCTCGAGGAGTCCGCCCCCGCCTCCGCCCCCACCTCCGCTCCCGCCTCCGCCCCGCCGGGCACCGCCCCCTGCGAAGAGCGCGGCAACGACGACGACGACGCCCTGTCCCTGTTCGCGGAGAGCATCACCTGCCTGGACTCGTCGCGGAGACACGACTCCCAGCCCGGAGACTTCGCCGAATATGTACCGCGACCGATAAACGCTAACAAGAAATCCGAAACTATCGCTTACCGGCCCTCGCACATTGATCGAAATCAAACGGCGAAAATAGTTTGCGAGAAACAGAACGCCGATTCCACCTCGATGTACAGAGAGACTCGAAACTATTACGAAAACACGAGCGACGTCGGCGTCGAGGACGAAAGCTCTTGGCCCTGGGCCGGGGCGTCGAGAGCGACCGCCGGGCCCCCCGCGCCCTTCCTGACTCCCGCACCGGCAGTCGAGCTCGGCCCCGAGGAAGCCGGCCGGCCCCTCTTCATTGCAGACATATACCCCGAGCCGAAAAACCTAAAGAGCTTCGTATTCATGGGCGTGTGCTTCTACAACCTCGCCTCTAAGTGCAAGCGAGAGTGCTGCCAGTTCCTGCACGCGGAGCTGCCGCCGGGCGTGGTGAGCGCGCGCCTGAGCCGCCTCGACTGCGACGCGGCCTTCGCGCACGAGTACATGATTATGCGCAACTGGGCCGAGCTGCGCAGGAGGTACGGCCTCGCCTACGTGCTGGAGGGCGCGCGCCGCGGCCTCACGCGACTGCTGCTCGAGATGGCCATAGACTTCGCCGGGAGGGCCGATCCCGAGCACCCGGAGGACAAGGCTCTGACGGTGAAAGTTTTGGAAGCGATCATGTTGTATTTAAACACGATAGACGTCCGCGAGTACGGGGACTTCCTCGAGTTCCCCGCGCCCGGCGGCCGACCTCTCTGCGACATTTTTATGGAAACGCTGGCCGGCACACAAAACTTTTCCCGATTCAAATCGATATTCGTCAATCTGACAGAGTTCATGGAGCGCATCTCGCGACCGTTCGAGTTCGAGGTGGCGTCCTCGCTGCTGGAGCGCGTGTGCATCCTGCCGCACGAGGAGCGCACCGCGGCCGCCATGCTGATCGTGCTGCGCCGCTCCTCGCCCCGCGTGTTGCGCAACGGCATGATCGGCCTCTTCGAGCGGCGGGTGGCGGCCGACGAGCGGCTGGCTCGCGACTTCGAGGCGTTGAAGCGCGCCGCGGGGGGGCGCAGCTTCTCCCCCGACACGACGGGCGCTGCGCCGGACTGCGCGGTGAGTGCCGGCCGCGCTCGTCCTGGATCGACTCGGCGCGGGTGAAGCACCGGGTGTTGAGCGATCTCTTTCATGTGTTCGAAAGCAGTCTGATGCACACAAAAGTTGGCGGCGTTTCACATGTAAAGGTCGATGACGTTTTGTCCACAGAGCGCGGTGGCGACTAACGCGATAGATTCCCACCTGGCGGAGTCGTTCAGGAAGGTCGGCTCAGTGATTCGGCCGGGGTGGAAGAGGTCGGCGGGGCGCCGCGGGGGCTGGTTCGGTGCGCCGGGGCGACTGCGCGGGGCGGCGGCGCACATCACACCTCCGCGACCACTGTTTAGGTTCCCCAGGAGCAGGCCGGTACGCACCGCACATTATACTGTTGTACTGTTTTTTTCTTTCTGTGCATCCTCTCCTCCGACGATTAAAGGTAGGCAACGCATATGCAGTTGCGTATGTCTATAGGCAGCGGTCGCTTCGCTGTTTCGGTGATTTCGGGAGGCCGTTCGCTCGTTTGCCACCTTATGATATAAAAAAAACTGTAAAACGCCTCCCACTCATTTGATAGTTCACAATAACCATGTCCTTTCATTTGTTTTTGAAAGAATGCCGTTCATTATTTCTTTTTATTCAGTTTCAGAATTATCAAAAGAGATTTATGCAAGACTCGTAGCAAGGTGAGGCAAGGTGAGGCAAGATGAGACAAGATGAGGCAGGGTGAGGCAGGGTGACAGGGTAGGGAAACATGATGTGGGCCACGTGTCGCCGCACGCTCTAGTGCTTGTGTTATTTCAAACATACATAAGTAAGAACTTATTTAAATTAGTGAAGAAGCAGTGAGCAGCGAGCCGCGCTCACGATACCACCTCGAATAAAGTGAGAGATCGCGGTGAGGAGGGGTGACATGTGATACACAAACAGTGTACGAGGACGAGGACGAGGTCGAGGTCGAGTGATCTCCATAGGAAGCTGAGCGAGCAGCGGCCGGTTCCGCTGACCTAAACTTGTACTTGTTATGTTTGAAGACATTGACATTTCAAGTTTTGTTAAGTTTGAAGATGATTTTATAGTTTTAAGCGTACGTAGAGTTAAGATTTTCTTGTTTCCGATATTAAAATCGACAATTCAGATTACTCGACAACGTTTATGTGTGACATTACAAACGGAACTATAAATCCAAAACGACATTATTACTTATTTTTTTATATTTTAAGGTTTCGTTTAAATTATTTGCCAGTTTTATATTTCTATGTGACTTCATAGTAGAAAATATATTACTATTTTCTTCTTAACTTAGCAACATTGTGATAAAATTGCTAGTGTAGTGGGTAAGTTACCTAAGTAAATAGTTATAGTACTGTATAGAGGAGACAGATGTTATGTTCACACAAACACACAGACACGCGACAGACGCGCGGCTCGCTGGAGCTCGATGTGCAGTGTGTATCGCAGGGTACTTTGCTATGTATTATAGGTGTGGGTACACTCACCTTTCTAACAATAAACAATTATAGACTGAGACTATACCTCTGACTAGTTCTTGTATAATACGCGACCACTACATTTGCCGACCTCTATCGTTAACACGGGTAGAAGATGCTCGAAAGTCGGTGAGAGGCGGCCGGACCGCCTGTCGTCCTCCTCCTCCTCCTCCAGAGTACGGTATTGTAAACAACACTATTAAAAATAGTTTACAGTTTTATCATTACAGTTAAGCGAAGCAGAAGGTTGATATTTTGTTTCTTGTCTACCAAGATTAGTCTTAAAACCCCACCAAACTTTTGTTTCACAGATTTCGTTTTTAATTACCAGAAAAAAAGAAAAAGGTATTTTTTTAACTTAATAATAGTAACAAATTAAAATGTTAAAGTCCTGTAAAAAGCTGGACACAATATTATTGTTATTTTATGAATGACTGTATGAAGATCGCAGCGGAGTGAAGTTATTGTGCGGGAAGTAGATATAAATGTTGCGATTCTTTTTATAAATATAATGTGGTTCTAACTATTATTGCAAAGTGGAAGCGTTATCTTTGTGTGTGCACACACGCAACACGCACAATGGCATATTTATTGCAATCGTCCAAAAAGTAGTTTCTTTAGGATCATTTTCGATGTTAATTTTTTTTTATTTCATAAATATGATCAGTATCGGCAATAAGTAACGCTATATTTTTTGCTATTAAAAAAAAATAACCCCTATTTTAGTTGTTCGAATGTTGAGCTCACAACAAGTGTAAATTTGTTATAAGTTTCAGAAGTACTATTGTTTGTTTGAAAACATCGACCATTAATGTTACAGCTGTAAATAAAGAAAAATTATCAATGCACTTGCTTTTATTAATTTTTTCTTGTGTAACTGACTTGCCAATGTGTTAAACATTCTGATGGAAATCAATGGCTTTTTTTTCGTAATTTGCCAAGAGAATACCTCAGATTTCACAAACGAATTAACATGTACCTACGATCAGTTTTAGCTTAACTATGAACAGATTTTTGGTGGTATTTATCTGCGATAGTATATGGTGTGGTGAAAGATAGGATATAACAAGTTGTAGAAAAAATGTAGAACCACTTTGAGTACAGTTTTATTGATTTGAACTTCGAACTGATTGTAAATTAATAAAATGCACGAAATACAAAAAACTATAGCCTCTTAGCTGACTTTGGCTAGAAGACCAATTTTACAATAATTTATTTAATCCTTGCACACAAATAAATAAAAAATGAAACAAACACAATAAGAAAACAACGATGCACGTACAGTTTAGATAATTAACAAAGTTGTTATTTTCACTTATTTAAAAAATAAAAAATGTAATCAACGAATTCAATGTCAAGTTTAGGCAGTTTCAGTCAAACGTCATTAATGTGTCAGTCAGTGAGGTGAACATCTGACAGCTGTCAGTTCAGTCGGCACCACACAATGCTCACCGCGTATATTTAGTTCAGACTTTGGACACAAATAAAAAAAGAACTTTAAACTTACACTTTTACAGCAAATTGCCTTAAAATATATTCAATATTATATAAAAATGAGCACAGACTTAAGCTACCATATAAATATTAAATAGTGAGATATAAATATTGTCACAGAGAAGCTTAATATAAATACTAAGTTAAAATGTAAGCGAGTATAATTTTGGCTTTTATAATACTGGATATGCGCGAGGGCATCAGGAGAGGGGGCCACGTGAGCTCCGGCCCTTCCCTAGCAACCTTTTTTTATTGCCATTTTATAAACATTTTTTCTTTTTTTTTTAAAGGGATCCACAAATAGAATTTCATTGAAAAGGCTACAATACTAAATAAAAAATGGTGCCTGGATAAGAAAGAAAAACGAAAGAAGATAAGATTATGCTGAGAGTAATGACAAGAGTTGAAGTAGATATGACAAGAGATTCACAGTGTCGCTGAAACTCATTTACGAGGTAATCAGTGGATCTGTGGATTGTGATAGTTAGCAGGTAAAGTGAAGCACCGTGAGTTATCCCTTTTGATTATCATCTTTTAAAGTCTTATTAGTGAAATTCAAATGAATGTCCTGAAGTTAATTTTTTATTCGTGAAATACTCGCGTGTGGTATCTTCTTCACAGAAACTTTAAATCCGCCCGCGCCCCCCCGCCCCGCCGCCCGATGCCGCCTCGCTAAGTACATGTTCCGTCATCATTCAACATTCTTATCTCTTAAGCTGCTCCACTCAATGTAAACAACAAGCTCCCCATCGGCAAGTAGTGGATACAAAATTCCTTTCCCACTTAACATCAATGATAACCTTTAAAATGCGATTATATCCAAAATACTAGACTTACAAATACATAAAGTTGTACAAAAAGTAGTAGCAGGTTTTAAATATATAAAAAGTGCATAAACACTGTTAGTGTCCCGCTGTGGGTAGCACCAGTCCCATTCAATGCCATGATACCTGCGCACCAAGCGGACCTTACAGTAAGCGGTGGGGGATATAGCGCAGGCTGACCGGCTGTTCAGGGCTCAGCGGAACAGTGCCCGCGGCCTCTTCTTCGCCAACTGGTGCCACGACTGACTGACATTCACCCGTCTCTTTGGTGAAAACCTGAAATTATAATTTAAAATACGCAAACTTACATCTTTTATCATGTGCTAAATATCACATTATTTTCTTAATATTTATTAAGTTTAATTAAACATCCACAATTGCAGACGCATTGCCTACCTATAATCGATGGAGGAGGGGATGCACAGAAAGAGAATATTTTCCCTTGCCATGCAATCACTCATCCAGAAAATCCACTTCCATTTTCCATCCTTTCCTTATAAAATATAAAGCAAGGTAGGAATTAAAAGAAGAACAAAATTAGGCCTCTAGTACCACACTCATCAGATGAAACACGGAATTGCTTCCACTTCACGGCTGTCTTCTGTGTGGTTGTGGTATTGCACTGGGCAACTCGGCGAATTCATGCAAAGATGTTAAAGTGGGCTCTACCACTGTTATATCAATAATAATTAGTTGTAGACAGTTAATTTAAAAAGTTCTCACCCGTCTGGTGTGTCAGGCATGTAGGGCGACATGCGGAAGTCTCGGCTGTGCGGGGTCTCAATGCCGAATGGGCTGTACAGCTTGGCCGGGCTCCTGCCCAGCAACTGCACACAGTCACATGCTTGTAAAGTGCAAACAAATAAATTGCGAAATTGATACAGTAGTAAAAATAAATAAAATTTGACAATTTCCATGTACAGTATTCAAAATAAAAATACAAAATAGTATACAGCAACATCCACATTAAGTAAAATATAATGGTTAGTATAGTATACAGACCCCCTTCTTCTTGGTGACTGGTGTTGAAGGACCCTTGCACGGAGATCCAGCCTCCGCTAGCCTGTGTCTGCGTCTGCCGCTCACTCTGAAATGCTAACATGAACATATTTAAGATATAAGTCAATAATTAAGAGATATACTATCTTTTATTAAATTTGTTTGGGTTGACGAATCATACACTTAAATTATTTAAATAGTGTTATTACATTGCGGTTTTATTTCCTATCATGATAAGCAGATTAAACTTTTCTAACTGTCTTACCTGCGACAAATTTCCGAAAGTGTTTCGAACGCTTTTGAACGTTTTTGATATTTTCTCAGCGCTAGACTGAAGCGCACGACGGGAACTTAAAAACGGCTTGGCTTTGAAAATATTGCTGTTGTAACAACCGTCGATGATTTTCACACTTTCGCGAGTCGGCGAATCAATAACCGAGTCGCACGCAAACGTATCTTTCATTGTGATACGTTTGCAGGAATACACAATAATAATTGTTATCTAAATATTAAGTATTATATTTTCGTCTTTTCAATTTTTTAAAGCAACACCTCTGTTAATACATACTTGCTTACTTTAACTCGACACATTCATTCATTCATTTCTTTTGTTCGTTAAGTTTAATCCAAGTTACAATTACAAGTAAGTTAAGTCAAGCTGAACGGAGTCTGATGTCTGGCTGGCTAATGGCAACGCTACGAAAATCGAAAACGGAGAAAAAATCGTTAAACGTCAAATCATAGATCATGCAAGAACAGAGTGAAAAAGCTCTGTATTCTTTTTGTGCCCATCTGAGTTGTTTTTTCGATCCAAACCACTGAAGTTCTGAACTTTTTATTTAACATTAGCTTCATTATTATTTTATATACTCTTTGATTAGCTTAAAACATGTCACATGAAGCAAGCATAAAAATATTTTGTGAAAATATTAAAGTGCCTTACACACTGAAACAGAGGTATATACTGGGCACAGTACAACCACGAATAGATGGGATAAATCCATATTTGAGAGTTGGTATTTTATGCTTGCTTCTATGATTTTATCTATTTATATTAAGGGTCGTCCGCGAATTTGTGTTCGATTTGATTCGTTATTATGGACGGAATATACTATGGATTATTACTGTTTTACATTTTACTTAAGAACATTTTTGCTTTTTTTTTGTAAAGAAACATTGTGACATTTAGTTAATAATTGTACCGTAGTACTAATTTATATTATAATAGATAGTTCAGTATCTAAACACTTGACTTTTAATCTGCAGGTACTGGATTAGGATCCCGATGTGTTTTTCTATTTTCAATTTAAATGTATGTTCATTTATTCGACACTCTTACGGTGGTGGGCTAGAGTGGCTATGGCCTAGTCACCCATACCGCCTACCTAAGGTGACACCAAGCTACTCAGTGAGGATGTATAGTGAGCCAATGATGAACAATTATATGTATTACTTTATTTTAAACTTAGTACTGTCAGGTGGAGTGAACAATCATGGAATATATGTAGATATATAATTAGCAGCCATAAAAACTAAAGTTGCAATTGAAACAAATGACTTCTATTTATTAACTAAATACAATGTATGTATGTATAACTATGAATTATGTGACTATTTGAAAACTCAGGATCTTTGGTGCATATAGTAGTCAATGACCGTTGAGAATGCGGCAAACCCTGCTGCACCAAATAGACCTGCTTTCAGCCCACCTGAAAAGGATAAATATTAAATTTGAACAATAGTAAAGCATTTAACTAATAAACCTCTGATGTTAAACATTTAGCTCATGAATTATATATTATTTGTATTTTAATGATTGACTTGAAGAAAAAAAAATTGTTGATACATATATTCATATTCATATATTCTGTAAAACAACTCCTGTACTGGTCCAAATACATGTTATGGAAGTGAAATAGTATTCTGTATAACTTGTTGCACTGCTCTCACCTCTCAATCCAATCAGTCCCCCAGTGACACCTCCTGCATATGTACCATTCTTCCAGTCAGATTTACCACGGGCACTTTCTATGCAGCATTCTACACCAGAGAATACTGCCCCAAGAATTGCAAAGTTTTTAGCATAACTTAACATAGATCCCTTCATCTCACGTAAAATTTCCCTTGCAGTTTGATTTTGTTGCGCCATAGGGTCAGTGACATTTGGCATCAGCGATGATGTAAATAAACCAACAGCTGCTCCCAGTCCGTAACCTGACCAAAAAACCTATCATAAGTTAACTGCACATAATAGCTATGCTTTTTCAAAAGTAAAGCTGCTAGCTGTGAGCTTGCTTTATCATTGAATCAAATGAAGGAAAAATATAAAAGTAAGGGGCTAATAACGAAATTAAGTTTTTTTTAAAAAGAACATACCAATAATGCAACTTGTTAATGATTTGAACGGACAGCTTTCCACAGTTGCTTCAATCATTTTCTCTTCATTTGTCTTAATTATAACTGGACCCAAAATCCTTGGAATTATTATATTTTCACGATAGCGGTAGTTGTTGCCGATTAAATATTTTGCTAAAGCATCATAGTCATTTTTTTCTGAAAATCTTAACAAATCAGGGTCTACGGGTGGTTTTGTGTAGGTCGTCATTATTTACATTTGTTTATATGACCTTGTTTATTAGAAATAATACATATATAGGTTATATTTTTAAATACCACTTTTGTTGCACCACTCTAACGCACTTGTCAACTGTCATTTTGGTTATTTTCAGTTTTCACGTCATTGTCAGCTGTTTTGTTGTAACTGACACAGTGCAAATGACATATAGATGTCTGTCGACTCTTTGACTGTGACTGACACTGACATTCAATACTCATTTTTCCATTTTTGTTTGTTATAATTGTTTTATTTTATTTTTACCTGCACTTACCAGCGATTTCATCCGCGCTGAATTAAAAAACAACGAAGAAAAATATGCAGCCTATAAAGGTCCCAGCGATAGGGTAGCTTTCCTACAGTAAAGGAATTTTCATAGCGGTCCAATAGTTTCGGAGTCAATCAAATCTTTGTAAGAAATTAGTTTGTTATATATGGAGAGCAAAATGTCAGATTCTTCGTCAGAAGAAGACTTATCACGATTTCAAGGTGTTGTGGATAACTCATTTATGAAATCCGTGAATAATAAGTCAAAAATTGGAGTAGTCGGTAGGTTTATGAATTCGTATAAACTTACTAAAAATGTACATATAATTATATTGTCAATGCAGTTATACTACTTTACTTACTAAAATTGTCAAATTTGTAGATCAGAAATTCCGTTCCGAAAGATATTTGGAAGAAGCTGGTCACTACAACGATGTCAAAGTATCCAATGAGCTACAGAAGAAGATTGCTGCTAAAGTATCAGAAATTATTAATAGAAATTTAATATTTGTTGAAGTGGAAAATCCTAAAATTAAGTAAGATTAGTGATTTCTTAAAACTTTATAATTACAATGACAAAGAAGTAGTTCTCAGAGACTGGCCTTTCTATACTTGTATAAACATTAGTAAATGAATATGTCAGGAAACAGTTGATATGTTTTCAGGAGAGAGATAGTTAAAGGCGGAGTTAAACTCTTCAAAGACTCTAAGGACTTGTTGTCTTGTGAAGATGTCAGAGACTCAACAACAGAAATACACAATCAAGTAGCAAGAAATATAAAAAGAAGAAAATGTTTGACAAATGAAGAAGCATTAGATGAAAGAGGTGCGCCACTACTGTGAAATTTATTTTGGAATTTTTTGTTCATTCAAAATAGTAGTCAACCGTATTAGTGTTAAAAATTATTAAATAACCTTTTGTATTTTATATTTCTTACATTTTAATATTATATTAATTTTTTTGTAAAATGAAACAAATTCAGCAGTTCACTATAATTTTTTAATAAGAGAGAGATTATTTTATTTTGTTTCTGTCTTCAGCCAAAATAAAGAGTGTGGCGGTCAGCGGAGAACAAGTTCTATTACAAGACGACACAAAGTATTGGAAGTCCCGGAGAAAAGAGAAGATATTCAAATACAGGAGAAGCGCAAGTAACGGCAATGTCTTGATTGCTGCCGAGTGTACTGACCGAACGTAACTATTTATTCAGACATTGTGCGCACTGTTACTTTCAAGATAAACAACAAAGAATAAACACAGCCAGCACATGCCCAGTAATAAATCCTTTTACCTAAATATAAAATATTTAACTCTGAATATTTTTTTTTCGTTTCAAAATCTGTAGGTTACATTATTTTCCCAATAGTAGCCGAAGCGGGGATTATAAGATTTAGCGTACTAAGAAATGCTCCGGCGCGTCACTATGAATAGCAGAGTCACAACGTTGTGTTGAATGTTAAAATGAAAAATAACATTAACATTGTCCCCATACGGAGGGTTCCATGTGTGGGGAGTGCACTCGCTTTGGTGCAAAGTTTTATGTTTAACTGGCACTCACTGCCGTCTCTCCGCCGCGACCATGCAACAAGAGATGAGAAAGCGTCGCGCTCATAGTGACGCGCAACCCAGCGAAGGAATCTATCCATTCTTGTCTAGTAGAACAGCGGCAGGTGCAGTTTCCTAAGCAAAGTTTAGATGGTCTACAAGCTGTGAACGTTAGAGTCAAAGAGCGCAAGAAATGGGCGACTAGTTTGTTGTCGACCTTGTGCTTAGTAAGGAGTGGAGTACTGGCGAGCCCGAAGGGTCCAATAGTCCAAGGTGGTGAAGACTACGTAATTCGCGTTGGAGCGCCAGCTGCCGGCGTGTATTATAGCGTAGGGCTGCTGTTGTTTAATAAAACTTCAAATATGCAATATTCAATGATTTATTTACAAGAACAAAAACTAGCCTAATATAAATATGTACAAAAGTTCAGTATCACATTTATAACTGCTTTTTGTTGCATTAATTTCTTATACAAATGCACTTAAACTATTTCAAGTTCAACTTGCTATTTTATTTCTTTAACAAAACATGTACCGGATATGTTGGATTTAAAAATTGTAGTCCATACTTAATGTTGACTACTCTGTATCAATGTTTTAACAATTACAGACGTGTTTCTTAGTGTGCCTTTCCAACTTTGTGAAATCTTTACGAGATTTATTTCACAATCGTCTAGCTAGTCAAAAAATTGTGACAAGAATAATATCGACAGAGGAAATTTGTGGAAAAAAATTTGTGTTTTAATTTATAAACAACGTTATTCTTTGTTTTCTTTTATAAATATACACAACATTTACTAGTTCTAATTGTACTTTTACGTAACAACGACTTACTTCGAACATTTAAATATACAACCTAACAGGAACAGCCCTCCAGCTCTCTGGTCACTGGCATAGGCGGCATCCTCTCTGCCACCAGCCACGACCTCATTCAACATTTGCTGGACACCGAGTTTATCAAATTTCATATAAAGCAATTATCAATTATAGTTCGAAGAATTTTCAGCTTATAACGTTCTTAAGCCAAAATTCACGAAAACAACTCGAAAACTCTAAAAATTGATACATTTTTAATCATAACGACTTTAGACTTTCATTAGAAACGAAAATGTAAAGTTGCAAAACAATTGTCTTTGCCACAATGGTGCCCATTCGATTCAATAAAAATATTCAACAAAATTAATGCAATAACAAAAGAAGTCATCGAAAAAGACAAACCACTTTTGAAAAATTGCTTCAGTTATGGCAAGAATCGATTTTTCACATCGACCCGACCTCAACACGGCGCCGAGAACGCGTCACATTATCTGTGGCGCGCGCCTCTATAACTTGCTGTTGTCTATGGGCAGGCCGGCGCGGGGGATGCGGGCGGCGGGGAGCGTGCTCTCGTCGTGGCTGAAGGCGCGGTTTTCTGCGCCGCGCGTCCCGCCCTGGGTGCCGCCTGGCGCCCCGCCCTGGGTGCCGCCCTGTGCCTCCGCCGGCGCCGGGCCGTCCATCAGGAACATCGTCAGGAAGAAAAGTATGCTGCCTGTAAACAAATGTGTGTCATATTATACAAAGTGCACGTCCTGCGACCGTGTGCGAGTGCGAGTGCGACGCGGTGGCGCTGAATGTAGGACTCACTGATGCCGTAGAAGCCGGCGTAGAAGATCATGATTGCCTCCCGGTAGCCGATGGCCTTGGAGACGGGGTCCACGAGGATGGGCAGGTTGCCGCCCACGTTGTTCATCACGAAGAGGAAGACACCCACTGTAGTGGAGCGAACCGACATCGGCACTATCTCCACCAGGATCGCGAACACGATGCCGAACCACATCTCGGCTGCAATACCACAAACAAACATTATTTACCTTATTTGTGATTTTAGACGATTCTATTCACCTTCGTTTTTGTATTCGCATGTAGGACTCGTCGCTGGGGTTCTGAGTTACGCCTCAGTGATAACTATTCCAGTTACCTGGCGATAGACTGTAATTTAATAATGAGTAAAGAACTGACCGAAGAAGTAGGAGAAGGCGAGGGTGATCATCGCCCAGAGCGGGCCGAATACGACGGAGCCGAAGGCCGGCAGCGTGGAGATGAGCTGCGACAGCGCCAGCACCAGCACGCGCGACCGCACGCCCATGCGCGCCACGAACCTGCGCACAACACACACATACGCACAGATGTTAGTGATGGGATGTCATCAGAGAGAGGGAGATACAGAGAGAGAGAGCATATAGCACAGACTTGTCGGAGACGACGCCGCCGACGACGACGCCGACGGATCCGATGCCGACGGTGACGGCGAACAGCCACCAGCCGAGGTCGACGTCGGGAAAGTAGTCACGGTAGTACAGGTCCGCGTTGTACGCGAAACACATGCCGCCTGCGAACAGTTGTAGGAGACGCGTTAACGCTGCGTGGTGCAGGGTGTGGTGCGGGGCGGGGAGGAGGTGGAGCACCTACCGCAGTGCCGGATGGAGGCGGCGAGGCAGAGCAGCAGGACGCGCGGCTGAGCGATCACGTGCCAGATCGTTACCTGCGGCATCTTCTTGCCGCTCTCGAGCGAGGCGTCCTTGCCTTTGGAGGGGGTTGCACCTGTAACACCAAAATTTATTTCTTTCATACAATAACGGAGCTAGCTGGATATTCGTATCTTTTTGCACTCCATTGAACCCTTTTAATCATTGTGAATTAGCTAGACGGCGTTTTTTTTCCACCGGACCATCAGACGGAGTCTAAATTGCGAGTCTTGACGTCTTCGCCTTCAAGGAGAAAACTTATAGGTAGCTGCACCTCGCTCGATGCGAGAAGGTGGCTAGTCACTAGTTAACTTTTGTCCCCACTCTAACTTACTCTAACTCTACTTAACTACCTTACTTCAATAGTATTAATAATACAATTCTATTCTAATTGTGTTTGTCCAGCCCCATACTTATATTTAAAATGAGTATAATTTCCTCAGTATACGATATGTGTGTTGCGGGAAGGTGATTATCTGTGACCGACCTTCCTCTCCGATGGTGGTGCGCTCGGGCTCGCGCAGTGTGAGGGCAGTGAGGGCCGCGATGACGACGCCCACCACTCCTGCGCCGTAGTAGCACACGCGCCAGCTCTGCACATCCAACAACACATACATTATACAGCACTCGTTCGTTTGTAGCTTACGATCAACAAACACTTCTAACGTTAAAATGCCTCTAGGCTTTAGTTAACCGAGTTAATTTGCAGCGGATAAGTAAGCGCGCTTAGTCCGGCGGAGCCAATGTAACTTACGAGTCCCCAAGCGTTGAGGGTGGGGATGTACCTCCCGACAGGGAAGGCGATGCCGTAGCCGCCGTAAATGCCCCAGTTAAAGATGGAGAGGACGAGCGCGCGCTGGTGCTCCGGGAAGAGGTCGGTGAGGATGCCGGTGGCCAGGGGATTGCAGCCCGCTTCGCCCGCCGCCATGAGCATTCGCAGCACCACCAGGTGCCAGTACTCCGTCACGCTGCCCATCAGCAGGATGGCCGCCACGAACACCGCCGTGCACGCCGACAGGATGCGCGCCCTATTGAACCTGCAAGAGAGTGCAAGTGTCAGTCGAGTGGACGCTCGTTTTCTCCATTGTGTGGATATGAACGAGTAGCGTATGACAATGAGATAAATGACGTACTTGTCAGCGAAGACCCCGATGATGACGCCGACGACGGTGAAGACGGCCATGAAGGCGGGCCCTGCCAGCACCTGGTAGTCGAGCCCCAGACCACTGTAGCCCCACTCGCAGTACCGCGTACCGTTCAGCGTCAGCGACTCGCATCTGACAGAAATCGGTCATATACACTTACTATAAAACATGTAATGATAACAATGCGTACTAAAATCGACCCTTTTGCTAATTGTAAAATAAGTTTATGCGTAAAGTAAAATATTTATATAGACTTAGGTGGCGTGTGCATGTGTGTGTGTGTGTGTGTCATTATGCAGCCTTACATGTCGGAGGAGTTGACCTTCTCGCAGACTTGGGGCAGCTGGGCGACATGCAGGTGCGTCGCGTTCAGCATGCACGCCTTGTCCCCGTAGTGCAGGTACTCCGCTGTCACTTTCGACGTCGTGCCTGAACAAACGCCTCTTTGTTATGCAACTATCAACAGGAGCGAACCCCCTATCTCCGGGGCTCTCCGATCTCGGGGAATATAAAACTCCTTGGGCTGATCACTTTGAAATCTAAAGAAAACGCCATGAAATTTGCTACAATAACTAGAGGGACTGTGGCCACCTATTTTAGCTGCTTAAGTTTTTCTCATACTATTAGACATTCCATGTAATTATCGTTGATAAAGTTACGTAGAAAGGTAAACACCTTTTTGTCGGTAAGGGTAAGGAAAGGGATTCGCAAAAAAAGTAATTAATGACCTTGACTTTGTTTCTTTCAATTTACGAGATTGAATTTAATTTTTTTAATCCAAAACCGGGTGGAGTCATTGCCGACACCTAACCCTTTTTTACTCTTCCACATTCATATTCTCCTCCTAAAATGCCGATGTCATGTCATTGTTGGAGATGCTGCTTTCAGATAAATAACATAAGTATAAATACGTAACATATAAAAAACATTTATTTTAACAAGGCTAACAAAAAACATAATCTCGTTCACTTGTAATAAAAAAAGAATAATATTAAAGCTGTAGTTTTTGCCGCGCGCCCGCGCTTTAGTTAGTGTCGTACTCTGAGGGTGAGTGTCATGGCCGCCGCAGCCGTCACTGGTGGAGCCACTGCTTGTACGACTGCCACTGACAAGTGGCCGAGCAAAGCATGTTGCGGGAGGTCTCACCTATCAAGTAGTGTCCTAACTCGCCCAGGATGTAGCCCACGGAGACCAACCCGAGGACGTACCACTTGTAGTAGCCCTGCAGCTTCGACCAGATGCCTCCTTGGAACATTTTGTTTATTCTGAAACAAAAAAATAATACCTTTGAGGGAAGGTCGCACGCAAAGCGATTGTACTATCAAATGCTAAACTAACTGAGTGGTTCAAGCCACCTCACTGTAATTGTGTCGAAGCGCTATCTATGGCTGTTGCCTTTTAATGTTGTCCTTGAGTCTGTTGAAAATTAAGTTATATTTTAAAAATATAGTACAAAACAATCTACGATAGTAACCTGTATCAAAGTGTTATTCATTTCCTGTTGTGTTTATGTTATCGTAAAGCAATCTAACGAAATAATATGTAGTAAAATATTGCATTACTGATTCACTCCATTAACGTAAAGTCATGTGTGTCATGTGTGTCTTCACAACCTACGAACCTAACTATTCCCAGTCCACTATCTATTAAGAAAGGGATGAAAAAGTCTTAAGAAGAGATATTTTAGTTTGCATTTATTTTAGGTGGAGCTCGAGGGCAGGTGCTAGGATCCTTCCCGTTTCTGTTATTTTTGAATAAATATTATTTAATAGTGTTACATTGTGAAACAATTGTTAACAATAAGTTGTCATTGTAACGCAAACTGTGCTCGCTCTGCTCTACAAGCGAGTTAATTAACACATTAGTGAGTCGTTATTGTCAGAGCATGTCATGTGCTGCGAGAAAAAAGTTTAATCAATAAGGAAGTTTTGATGTTAACTATGTGTTGATAGCTGTAATTCCACGTTGCCAGTTTATTACTTTAAAGATTTACTAAAGTATCTCGTTCGGTATCAATAAAACAAATGTTGCAAAGTAAAAGGCGATTGAAACGTCCCCAGACATTATTAAAATTTACAATCAGGTTTTTGGGGTATTTTCATTAAAATTAGTGCTCAGCATGTAGTTTACTGGGAACTTACAATCCACATTCATCCGACGGACAGACGACGACAGTCCAACCCAACTGAGCTTTTATTACATCCCCATTTCACATTAAAAGTTCGTTAAATTCCAGCTCCTGACTTCGAAACTGGTTAGTCGATTGGGATAGACCCTACCTTGTAATAAATAGGTAATTAATTCAATATATATATTTATAATAAACCAAGGTTAGTCGCGAAGGTGTAACGAGTAGCGAGGGTCGAGCTTCCGCGTATGCAAAGTGCGCCAGGCGGTGCGGCGGTGCGGCGGCGCGGCGGCGCGGCGGGTGACAGGCGGCAAACCTGTTGCTAATAGTATTCCTTCACACGTACCACTTTGTGTTATAACATCTATGTATACTATGTACAACTCCATACAAACTAACATCGTGCCCGCGACTTCAACCGCATGGTAAATGTAAATGTATCGTGTAATAAATATATATGAATAGAAAACAAAAAGAAGCTAGTTATGTTTTGACGATTTTTTTGTTTATTTAATTGAACACGTCGGTTTGTCACGCTTGATGTTGTCCCGGAGAAAAACCGACACAAAAAGTAATCGGATCTCTGGAAATAGCCACATAATAAGTTTAAGTCATTAGGTTTTCTTGTAAATAACTCGGTAACTTGAACGATTTACGCGCAGCATATTTATGCTCTATATCAGTTAATTTGTGTTAAACAGTAAAATGCATGTTACTTTGTTTAGCGACCTAGGAAAAACTAGCTAAATTATTTTGGTTATGTTCAATGTTTGTATCCAATTTATCTTCAAAGCGTTTGTGTACATAAAAATTATAAAATTAGTGAGAAGATTTACATTTTGATAACTCTGCTACTAAACTTTGAGACTCGGCAGTCGGCGTTCGAGTCCTTGTCCTTTCTAACACACATACATAATAATTAATTAAATTGTGCAATCCCTGATAAGTTTAACGTAATTGTGTTGAACTAAAACATTGTACGAATTCGAAACTTGTGTTGCATACAGCTGAGCCGTGTCGTTTTCCTTGAAGCGATTTTGGAGCACGTGTGTGAATTGACTCGTTAAAGCCTCCTCTGCGCGCTAGCAACGCGCTGCGTGCTGTTATTTATTTATTTATTTATGATACACCAACGGTTAAGTTATAAGACATTCAAAAAAACCTTATTACAGAAACAGAAAACACATAATAACTTATCACAATTAAAGGTGTACACATCATGCGAGATTAATGATGAAACAAACAAACAACACAAAAACCTTATACATAAACAAAAAATACTGAAATTTTTTAGAGTGAAAACAACAAAAAATAAAAAAGTTAACAAAGGAAAGAAAGAGGACATGAATTAAATTAATTAGCAACATTACGGATATATTTTTTAAAAGAAGATATTTTATTGGAGAAAATGTCGATTAGGGGCGCATTATTTCTCGCTGTATGCTTAGGATTTTCTACATCATAAGAGTTATGCATAGCATTATATGTATTCATCAATCTGTTAATCGGTGAGTGAAGGCCTAAGTTCGTACGAGCTGCCTTAGTAACAAACGGGTTATATTTTGTATATCTGGGTAGTCTAGAAGGTACAGAAATGGATAATTTTGATATTAAGTAAGAATCGTCAGTGTAGCCATTGATCAATTTGTACAGAAACATGGCATCGAGCTGTTTTCTTCGGTGGCAAAGCGAC